CAGGTGCTGGAGGGCCAGGCCTAGCCCAGCTTTGCGACCGGCATCCCAGAAGCCTTGGCTCCCCTGCACTGAGACGGCCTGGTGTGTGCCAGGACCAGGGGTAGTTCTGGGGGTTTCTGTCACTGGGTCCCTCCCCCAAAGCTGCCCTGGATTCTAGTCTGGCCACAAGACCTTGGCCAAGTCCCTTAAACCTCTCTGAGCCTCCGTTTCCCCAGCTATAAAATGGAGTTGGCAGTAGCAACCTCTTAGGGTGGTTGTGGGGTGTGATGAAGGATGTGTATTAAGCCCTGGGGAGCAGTGGGCTCTGGGTGGAGGCAGGAAGTGGCAGGGATATTAACATCAGCCCCAAATCAGCAAGTGCTTCTAACCCGGGCCCTCCACATGGGGAAGTGGGGCAGGGCCTGTCCAGTCACCATCGGTCACTATCACGGTCACATCAAAGAGAGCACAAGCCACCCAGCCAAGGGCATATGGGGGCCTTCTAAAAAGTTTAACACTCAGAAAAAATTGTCTCCAGAATACAAGAACACAGCAAAATCAAGGTGCATGAAGATGTAATAAATGTCTGCATAGTCAACATAATGTCAATACCATTTTTAAAATAAGAAAAAAGTTCATTATACTTGTGAACAATGTGTAGGGTAGATTTTTTTCTCACCTTACAAGATTTTCCCACTCTACTCAATGACACTGGAACAATTTAGACAATTTAGACAAATTGAATTAATTTCTTGTAGCCAAAAATATCCAAAACCAAGACACTGAAATTTTCTTTTAAAAATTTTTTACAGGAAAAAAAAGTTATGGAGGAGGGATGTAATGCAGATTCAGGCACTTGCTGTGGTGTCAGGTGTGGCCTCCAAAAATGAGAGGGTCTGGACCTCTGACAGCTCAGGGCCTCCTCCAGTCCCAGGGACTGGACCCAGGCTCAGGTGGGGCAGGACAAGAGGTCCGGCTTGGCCTCGCTGCTGCTCCAGGGGCCCTAATGGCTGTTCCTAAGCGCCCTTTCTTCCCCAAGGCCTGGGGAGGATGAACCTGGAGTAACCGGCAGATCTCCCTTCCTTGAGCAATAGGTGCTTCGGAACTCACCCCAACACCTCTCTCCCAGTCCTACCATCTAGGATTCCCTGGCCTAGGCCTTCCTGGCCTGCTTCCCTACCTCTTCCAGGAAGCCTTCTGGGCCTTCCAGGCCATGCCCAGGTGGCCTTCACTTGGCCCTGGCTGCTACACACAATCATAAGATGGAGACCTCCTAGTCTCAGGCTGGATGCCCTGAGGGCCTGAGCCCGGGAAACCCACCCCTGCCCCCCACGCTGAGGCCCCCCGTCAGTCATCCAGCTGCTTCTAGACCCAGAGGGCAGCAGATCAGACTCTGGTGAGTGTGCCCTGAGCCGCCTCCGTCGGAGGGTGAAGAGGCCTCTCAGATCATAGCCCACGTGGCTCAACAGGGTCCTGAGTGATGGGGGCGGGGGACATGGCAAGGTCAGAGCAGTGACCCTGGCTGAGCCGTGTTACTGCCTCTGATGGAGCAGTGGGGTCCTGGCTTCGGCCCCACCAACTCATCCTCCTTCCGAGGGGCCCAAACCACAAATCTGACCATGTCCTACCCTGCTCAGCAAAAGCCCAGTATTTGGTGCCTGAGGGGACCCAGTCCTGTTCCCCATCTGCGCTCCACCCTCACCTCCCCAATGGGATCATCACCATTTCTACGTAGGCTGTGTCTTTGTAGCTCTGGTACCCCATTTTCCACTGACATCCTGCCCGCCCGCCAAGGCCCAGTCAGCTCAGCCAGCTTGCATTGCTCCCAGACCTGCAGCCCCCCAGGGTTAGGGTTAGGGCAGGTCTAGAGGGTCTGGGTGCTCATCTTTGCCCAGTTCAGGTGCAGGATCCAGCCCTGAGCTGCCCTGAACTCCTGGAAGCAAATGAGCACACCAGCAGAACCCAAGCCACATGTTAAGTCTCTGGGGTGAGGTTAAGTTTGAGCTTGTGCTGGCCTGGAATCCGCCCCTCCCCAGTCTCAGAGGCAGCAGAGGCTCTGAGATGTTCGCTGACTCCTGCAAAGGGTCCCAGACTCTGCTCTGAAAATGTGTGTGAGGGTGGGGGCTGTGGGGTGCCCCTGTCTGGGAAGGCTGCCTGGAGGAGGTGGCTCTGGGTGGGCCTAAGAGGAGACAAGAGCCGCCAGGGTTCTGGGTCAGGTCATGGCGGTGGCCTAGGGTGGGCGCTTTGGGTCCTGCTCACCTTCCCCCAGCTTCCACTGCAGACTCCAAAGAACAGGAAGAGCTGGGAATGGCCGGGAAGCCAACCCCCCCCCCGTGGGGTGTCAGCCCCCACCCCCAGCCCTGGTGGTCTGAAATGCCCAGCTCAGACCAGGACCCGTCTTCCCCACTCCCCCAGCCGTTTGGGGCGAGGTCTGCCCTGCCTGTGGTCCTTTCTGGGCCAGAACGCTCTCTGGAGGACTAGGGCCTGGCCGCCGGGTGCGTCTGTGCGGGGGGCCCTGCTTGGACCTGGAGTGCCCACCCACAGTGGGGCAGCTCCTGCAGGCAGCGCTCCAGCTGCCCCAACGCCTTGGCCGCCGGGCCACAGTGGGAGAGGAGGCGTTGGGCGGGGCGCCCCCTGGTGGCCATTAGGGGCTGCAGCAGGGACCTCGGAGGAGCCGACCCGGTGCCCTGGTGGGGAAAGGGTAGTGTCCCCCAGCCCTGCCCCACCCACCCGCCTCCGGGGTGATAGTGCCCCACCAGCAACATCAGCCTCCAGGGTACTGACAGTCTTTCTCCTCTCCTTCCCGCGCCCCCGCCCCGTGTGGGTGTCCACCTGCCTGGCTGCCTGCCTGCCTGCCTGCCTGGTGGTGGTGGGGGGGGGCCGGGCCTGGGGGCAGGCGGCTGTATGCAGGCATATTTGTGGGGCAGATGAGCCACGGGTGGGGGCCGGCAGCAGGGGCCGCTCCAGAGGCCAGGGTGTGTGGGAGTGGCCTGAGCCGAGCCTGCGGTGGAAGAGGCAGGACGGGGACGGAAGAGGAGGCGGGGGAGAGGAGGCGGCCTTCTCCCCACCTCCCCGGGGACCAGGCTCAGGGGCTCTTCCTGTCCCAGGGCCTCCCCGACCGCTGGGACACAGAGAGCTCTGGGTGCTCCCACCCTACACCCTCCCTCCTTGGACTTGGTGGCCTGCCCTGCGGGGATGCTGCAGCCTGCGTCTGGGTCCTGAGAGCCTGTGGGGGACCCCCCGCCTGTCGCCGGAAGCTCGTGTGGGAAGGTGCTGGAGCGCTCCCGTGGCTTTCTCCCCAGGCCTGTGTGTTGCCCCGAAAGGGGGTGGGGCGGGGTCCTGGCAGCTCCCCAGCCCCTCTCCAGCCACCAAACCACGGCGTGCCATGGGCGCTGTGTGTCCAAGCTGCCCTCCCTGGAGGTGGCCCTCCAGGCACAGCCAGCTGGGCCGGTTCCTCCCAGCACCCCCAGGTCACAGGGCTCCCTTCTGCCTCTCGCGTGACCCTTCTAAAGGCCCGTGGCCCGGATGGGCTGCCTGCTAACTTCTGTGAGCCTCGGTTCCCTATCTATGACATGGGATCCTGCCCCCTCAAGGGAGTGTCACTCGAAGGATTGTCATGGGGAGTGGAGGGGACGGCCCTCAGGAAACAGAAGCAGGAACGAGGACAACGATGGTGACGACGGGGAAGCTGAGGCTCCGGAAGGGCACCTGCTCGAGGTCCAAGGTTGGCTCCTGAGGGCTGATTCCAAACCCCTGCCCCCACCAGTCCCGAGCCCCTGCTGTAGGTGGGCAGAAGTTCATTCCTTCTAGATCCTTCCTGAGCGGGAAACTCTGCCTTGGACCAACCCCTCCCCACCCCCAGGTCCTGGCCCTACCCTTGGGGTGGGGACAGCCCTGTAGAAGGGTAGAGTGACCACACATCCCCCACTTAGCGTGGAAAATCCCAATTTCTGGGCAGATGGGACGGCTACTGACCCTCCTTGGGCGCTCCCGTGGCCACAGGCCTTCCTGCAGGACAGCTGGGGTGTGGGCTGCCGTCCCCTCCCACTGCACAAAAGCGGCCCAAGGCTGGCTTGGAGACCACCCCTCTGTCCACTGGGGTCTAGGCCGTCCCTCTGGAGGGCAGCTGTGTCTGGGCCGAGGGTGAGCATCGGGGCAGACCCTCCTTCCTGGGTCTCCACTCCCTCTCCCACCCCGACCTAGTGAGTGAGGACCACCACGTCCCAGGTCTGGAAGGTGACAACTGCGGGTACCTAGAGTAGAGGGAGGGGGACCCCCAGAGTGTAGGTTCATGGGGGCTTCCTGCAGGGGGCTGACTTCCTGAAGGCACTGCTGTCCAGCCAGTGACACAGGCACCGCCATCCACAGGAGTGGGAGGGACTCTGTCCAGGTGGGCAGGCCTGGTCTTGGGCAGCTAAGGACGCAGGTCTCCCTGGATGCCACTTCTCTTCTGCTCCCAAAGGACGCAGCGCTGCTCAGAGGAGCCCCCGGGTTCTGAAACACTTTCTCACCTACCAGAAAGAAAATGGGTGTGGTGGCCACTGGGGCCTCTTGCAGCCATGCCCCCATTCTCTGGCCTCCCAACGCCCACCTCAGAGGGACTGGGCACCCAAGTCCCAAGGGAAGGCCCCATCGCCTTGGCAACCCCAGCGTTTGGTCTGCCCTCCTGCATTCTCTCCAGGGCCCCAGGTGGGGTGTCCAAGAGCACTGCCCACCCCAATGCACACAGACGCCAGGGGTCTGAGCTGAAGACACACGAGGAGAGGAGCTGGGCAGGGTGGGCAGGCAGTGGGGAGGCTGGAGCCATCGCAGGCAGTGGGAGCTGGGGATGGGGGGCGGCCACCCCTCTCCTGGGGGCTGGTGGGAAGTCAAGTCCTGCCCTTCGACTGTCCCAGGAGTCCAGAAGCCCCCAGCTTCCTAGAGGACAATGAACTTTAGCAAGAGCCCCGTCACCTGCCAGACGGAGAAAGAGGAGTCCATCCATGTTCACATGAGGAATAAGAGTGTCTGCAATCCTTAAATAGATTTATGGAAATGGTTTTGAATTACAGCATTTAGAAAATAAAAATAATCTCCATACATAATATACCCTCCATTATATGCTTTTCTTCTCCCACAGAAGCTGTTTTTGTGCGTGTGTATTCCAGTGTCAAATAGTAATTGGATTTTATCCTATAAAAGAAGCAGTAGGTATGTCATCTCTCTAAAAATAAAACTGCAATCGTCATTGCAATGTGAAGCCTGAGATTTAAGCCTGAGGAGGTGTCTGTGCTGGGGCCTGGGGCCACTCTGGGGTCTGAGGAGGTGGGCCAGGGTCCCAGGGGTGCAGAGGAAAGGGGAAGTGGCAGCCAAGCGGGCAACATCCGGGGGTCCTCAGCCCCCTGGAGAGCCCTGGCCTCGGAAGCTGGGAAACCTCTGCCTGCCACCTGACCCCGCCATCGGCTGGTGGACCAGGGTGGGCAGACCGCAGCAGGGGCGCGCCTGCTTGCCCAGAGGACCACCAGGCCTGCTTCTGCATGTCCTCTCTCCAACAAGCAATGAGACTCATGCTGCTGAGACAAGGTCCTGAGGGGAGCAGGGGGCAGGCAGCTGTGGGCTCAGGGCCCTGGAGAGAGAAAAGCCTAGTCTTTCTGGTTTGGCCAGCGTGTGGGGAAGCCCTGCGGTGCCCCAGGCCCCCCCCCCCCACCCTGCCGGCCCCCAGAGGTGTCCACCATCTCCCCAGACTCAGCCCCAGGGGCCGAGGCTGCCCTGAGCTCAGACACCATCCCCACTTTCCCCTTGCAGGGCGGACCTTCTGCTACGTTTCAGCCTCAACGCCGCATCTCAGCAGGGCAGGGGGGCAGGCGGATGGGCGGGAGGAAAGCCCATCCTGCCCAGGAAGCCGCCTGGCACCCCCAGGTCCCCCCACTGGCTGAAGCTGACCTCCTGTTGGCCCCTGCGGCTGGCCTGGGGTCCCCACGGGTGTGGAGGCCAGGGCGGGTGGGGCGGAGGTCCTGGACGTTCTGGAAGTCAGGGCGGCCTGCAGCCCTGGCAGAGGTGATGGCGGCAGCTGGATGAAATGCAGTGAAGACCCTCCCGTGGCCGGAGGCCTCCTCCTCGGCACCTCCTCCCTGGCGTCCTTTGGGGCCCTCGCGGGCTTGGGGCACCGTGTCAGATGCCCGCCTTGTCGCTGTAGAAGGGCGTGACGTGGAACATGTAGCAGTGCGTGCACACGCGGACGGGCTTCACCTGCCCGTAGCGGGGCAGCGGTGCCGAGTGCGAAGAGCAGCGGGAGCAGAAGATCTGGAAGGCGAGGGGCAGGAGGCGGGGCCAGTGGGCTGGGCAGGGCTCCCAGCAGCCCTTGCGCCTCACCCCTTCCTGACCTTGGCCTCTCAGGGGCGCGCAGCAAGGACAGGGTCGGAGCCCCGGGCGCCGCCGGCCTTCCTGCCCTTCCTCCCACCCAGAGCATCCCGGGCGTGCGCGGGTGGGTGTCTCCCGGCCCCCCCGTGGGGCTGGAACCTTCAGGAAAACCTGGCGCAGGTCTTGGCCAGGAGGCCGGGCCGACGGAGGGGGTCCTGGCCCCATAGCCAGGCTGCCGCAGGCTCCTACTCAGACCCTCCATCCCCTCCCCGTCCCCAGGTCTGAAGTGGCTGGGACTGGGCACTGCACCATCGCACCCGGTGGGCGGAGTGCCTGGAGTCCACACCCTGTGCCAAGGCAGAGCAGGGCCCAGGGCTCAGGCGTGTCTGCACAAGGACCCCGGGGCATCAGTCCGGACTTCCGGACCTCGGCGCCACGTCTGTGACGGCCCCTGGGATGCCCGCAGCGACAGCACAAGGGGCCGCGGGACGACCTCGGCCGCCCCACCCACCTTCCCACAGCTCCGGCAGTGGTGCTTCCTGCGGATGACGGTGAAGGGGGCTTTGCACGCGGTGCAGAAGCCGCAGGCCTCGTCCGGGACCCACTCGGGCGGGTCTATGACAACGACAGGGGGGAACACGTCAGCCAGAGGGACCCGTGCGGTGGCGGCAGTGGGGACCGGTGACGGGTGGGGGTCGGAGGCTGGCGGCTGTGCAGGAGCCTCCGGTGGGGCAGGGTGTCCCCCACTCCCCACCTCCGGTCCTCCCTGAGGCTCGGTACCGGCTGCGGTTTCAGAAAACTGACGGTGTCCCATGGACGTGTCAGTCTTTGCAGCTGTCGGCCGTGCTCATCGATCGGACCCCAGCTGCGGCCTGCACCTCGCCCCAGGACTCGGGGCACGGGCGGGGAGCGTCCACCCGGACAACCCTCTCCCGGCCGGCACCCAGACTGGCAGGGCCCTTGGGCAAAAATGGGGGCTGGGAAATGAAGAAATCAGCCCCCTCTGTGGACCCCTCCGTCAATCGGCCTTGCCCACCCCAGCTCCAGGGCTGTTCTCAGGTTCTTGAGGAGAGGCGCCGAGGCTGGCCCTGGCCTCTTCTGACACCTGTGCAGCCTGGCAGCTGCCTGTGGGCCTGTCCCATGTCACTTCTCCAGGAGATCACTGGGGGAAGCCTCTGGGCATCTGCTCTGGAATTTGGGTGGGAGGGTGTGTGTCGGCGCTGGGAGAAGCCATCTTGCATGGGGGGACATGCCTTTCCTCCCACCCCAGACATAAGATGCCCACTGCGTACCAACCCAAAGCCCAGTACTGCCACCCAGAGGGAGAGCGAACACCTGGACGGCTCCCTGGGGCCACAGTGTGGGCTCAGGGGTCTGCCGTCCACTCTCACACAACCCCCAAGGGAACTCAGCAAGGCCGCCCACCCACCAGAGACCGGGGTCTCCTCGCCTCCCTCTCGTCCCCTCTCCTCACCAACCTGCACCTGAGGACCTGCCCCTCCCCCGCCTGCGCACAGAACCGCCCCTCCCCCCGACCCCTCCCACCCAGCTCTCCCGCTTCTGCTCTGGACCCCATCAGCTCACCCCCGACTGCAGGGAGGTGGCTTCTCATGCTTGCCACCCTCCCCCGCCCCCGTGTGAAATCCTTGGCCGGCCCCAGTGATGCCCTGGACGGGGCCCGGAGCTCCGGGACCACACCAGGCCACGAGGCCAGCTCCAACACACAAGTCGAGACCCCCGCCCGAGAAGGATGGTGAGGGTCCTGAGGACTTGCTGGGTCCAGGCCCTGCCCTGCGAGCCACTCCCAGGAGGGGGCTGGACTGGTGGCCCACGGTGGGACATGGCCCTGGCTGTGGGCTGGGCCCCTCAAGACCTCGCAGTTCACCAGCTGCACGCTCCTCGAGCAGGGGGTTCCGAGTTTCTGGTGGGCGTTCTAGTTATGGCACTGTGTGTGATTTTCACAGGAGGGTAGAGAAGACCAGGGCTCAGGGCATTTAGGAAGCAGGGAAGCTTGTGTGGCCGCCCCCACGGGATCCCGGCCAAGGCAGCCCCACTGCACACCTGGGTCACCAGGCAGTGCGAGAGAGGCCCTGAGCCGGGACCAGCAGGGACCAGCGCCGCCGGCCAGGCACACCGGGGCCAGCCGCCTCCTTCTCAGCTCCGGTCGCATTCAACACTCACTCAGGCCTGTCTGCCGCTGCCCGTCTGAGCACCTCTCCAGGCCTCCGGCCCCTTCCAAAGGCCTTGGGCGGCCCCCTCCCCACAGATGTGTTGCCAGTGCCCCCAGCCCACCCTGGATGCTCCTTCCCTGACTGCCAAGCCACCGGGCCTGCAGCCGGCCGACCTCCAGGCTAATGGGGGAGCAGGCTGCTACGGGAGGCCTTTCCTGCGGGGCAGGTGAACGCTGGGGGGTCGGCAGTGTGCCTATGGCCTGGGACCAGCCACTTGCAGCTGCGGCCAACGGCCTGGACCCCGGCATCTCCTTGCTTCTCACACCCTCCCGCTGCCCCCCAGGCTGAGATGTTCAGTTACGGGCCTGAGGTTAGGTGGCGGCAGCTCAGAGGACCTGTGCCCACCCTGGGAGCCCAGGAGGGAAGCTGGAGTAAGAGGCTGCACACCCTGGGAAGCGGCACGTCTAGGTCTCTGGGGATGGGGAGGGGCCCCCGCTGGAGGAGCGCTGCCCGCCCTGAGCCTGCAGTCCAGGGCAGAGCGGTGGAAACATCCAGACAGGGCTCCTGCTCTCCGCTCGGCTCCCGGGCCCTCACGCACCTTCCAAGTCTCCATCTCGGGTCTTGGCTGCGAGATCGGAGGATGACAGGGTCTCCTGGCACAGAGCGCAGTCCTCCAAGGCCGCGCTCCGCAGGGTCTGGGTGACTAGAAGAGAGAGGGTGGCGCTCGGGTCAATGGGCCACCGCCTGTCCCTGGGAGGTGCCGCCAGCAGGCAGTAGCCCCCGAACAACCCACAGTCCCGCATGCGGAGTGGGTCACCGCAGCCCTCACCCACCGTCCCCGCAGGCTGGGTGCTGACCCCGCAGGGGGCCTTTCCGTCCGAGTGCCCTCAGGTGTGCAGCTGGTCCTGCCTGTGGGCCCCTGGCCCCAGGGCCCACTGTCCTTGCTTGCAGAGCAAGAAGCCAGCCCCAGAAGGCAGCCCCGCCCAGAATTCCCTGGCAGATGGGGGCAGTGTGGTCCAGTGGTGTGGACCCTGGGGGGCACAGCTGGGTTGGCACACAGGACAGACTTCTCCCTGTAGGCGAGGACATGCCCTCCAGGGCTGGGCCGGCTGCCCCGTGTGTCCGGACATTCTTGAGCAGAAGCCCCTATGATGAGAGGCCACTCGCCCAGAATGGGAGCCTCAGCCCAGCAGAGGGTGGGCAAGCAGGGGTCGGGCCCCTTCCCCACGCTCGGACACTGCCACCTCCTTCCAGGGAGCGAGGGGCCGAGCTCCCTGTGCCTTAGCATTCCCTGTCTGACACCTGCTCTCTCACCAAGTAACTCTGCTCTGCGTGCACGTGTGTGTGCACGCGTGTGTGAGTATGTGAGGCAGCTCACAGACGGCCACTTCCCCGAGCAGGGGACCCACGTCCCCTCCTTGGCTCTGGGCTGGCCCCTGGCTGCTCTGACAGACAGAGTTTGGTAGAATTGACAGTGTACCGCTTCCGGGTCCCGTCTCCAGGCCCGTCAGCCGTCGGAAGTGGGGTGGCCTGGCTGGGGCGTGGGCACGTGGGGCTGTGACCCCCGTGTGTCCCCAAGCCCACTTCTCGGGGTACCCGGGGCCTGTGCCCCTCTGCCCACAAAAGCTGGGTGGCGGTACCGGGCCAGGTCTGGGGGTGCAGATTTCCGCAGGCCCCCCACATCCGGGGGTGGGTGGGCATGACGGTCAGCCTAGGCCTCAGAGCCTGTCCCGAGCTGGCACTCACCCTTCTTTAGCTTTTCCTTGTCGTCCGTTTCCGGCTTGGTGGCCATGACCTGGAAGAGGGTCTTGAGAATACTTCTGAGGTCGCTGGCGTAGTTGGTCTGCAGCTGGTCGGCCACGCCTGGGGGAGGACGCCCGAGGAGGGGGGGTTAGGTCCTGGCAGCTGGTGAACCCAGCCAGGGCTCGTGGTCAGAGACCAACATGTCCTCGGATGAGTGGCCGCGAGAAGAGGCTGCCCCGCCCCCGTGACAGCTCCTTTGGCAGAAGCAAAAGCTCAGGAGTCAAGGGAAGGTGGCGGAGGGGGGCAAAGTACCCAGCAGCCCTCCCCCGGGGGTCAGTTATTCGCTTCGTGCTTTTATCCTGGCCCCTCACTGAGGGACAACCCCAGAGCCCCCAGCTGTGCCCACCCGCATGGCAGCACCTTCCCCTCACGGCCACCTCGACTGCGGGGATGCAGTGAGGTTCCACGTGGCTGGGGGGCCGAGGGTGGACCCTGCCCAGACATGGGGCCCAGCGCCGGCTCCTCGGCACCCCCCGCCAGCCGCGCCCCGCTCCCTGGCTGGACAAGGCTTCTCCCACCCTCACCTGCAGAGGTTTCCTCTGTCCCTCAATTAGGTGGACTCGGCCCTTCTCAGTGAAGAGCGCTGTTAGCTCTTCAGGGGCACAAGGGGCTGCCGTTAACAGCAAAGCCAGGGAGTGACCGTGCACATCCCAGCAGCACATGGGCGCCCCGGGACCCATCACTGCGCTGATACCGTGGCCGGCGCTTCCGGGGGCTTCCTTGCGTGCCAGCAGCCGTGTTGAGTACCAGCTGGCATGATGTTCCCCAGACCTCTAAACAAACCCGTGTAGTGGATCCCGGCAGATGTCTGAACCGAAGCTCAGAGTCACCCCGAGGTCCTCGTGCCCCCACCTGGCCTGGCTGGGGGCTGTGCCTGAGGGGCCCTCGGCAGTGCGGAGTGACCCCGGGGATCATGACCCTGACTCTGCACCGTCCGCCAGTCCACAGGCTGCCCCGCGGCTGCCCCTCCACCCGGGGCCCGGGAGCGCCGTGGAAACTCCAGGCCAGGGGAGCTGGGCTGCAGGACTGGCACTGTGTGAACCCGGCTGCCTCGGGGAGGTGTCGGGGAAGGGCAGGCAGGAGGCCAGGAGGGTGGACTTCACTGCACACTTGTCATACTTTTAAACCATGAGAAAGACGCAGCTATTCAGAACACACAAATCTAGGGAAAGCGCTGCTACGGAGACACCGCTTGTGCTCACTCCCCTCACTGAACTCCCCAGGGAGCCAAAACAGTCACCGTCCTGTTGTCTGCCACCCCAAGAGAGGAAACATCAGTCCGGACAGGACGCACAATGAACTCTGACCTACAAATTGAACAGAGCCTCCCTGTGTGAGCAGCGAGGGGCCACTGGGACCAGAATGGGGTCCTCCACCCCCCACGGGAGGGCCTGGTGAAGCACGACACCCGCCTCTTTACCGGGCCGGGCTCATGGCGGGGCTCGCGGGCGAAGGATGAAGTGATGCGGTGAGGAAGGCCCAAGGCAGGGCTGACACCCGAGCAGCCCAGCATCAGTGGGGAACCTCCCGCACCTGGGCCAGCTGCTCCGCTAAAGCACGCCCCCCCGCCCCAGTGTGTCCCCAAGCCCACGCCCCGCCCCAGGCCCAGAAGTGGCACCTGAAATGCAGACAAACAGGCGGTGGATCAGGTCGTGGCTGCCGTGGAACCGGGACCGGATCTTCTCTCTGATGGCCACGGGGCCTGCGTCCGGCCCCATCTCGTCTGAGGGGCAGGAGCCGGCCGTGAAGCCGCTGTGCAGAGAAGGAAACACAGGAGCACAGGTGGAGGGGCGAGGGAAGGCAAAATCTCTGCCCGGAGGCCCCCTCGTTGCGGGAGTGCACTGGGGCTAACGCCACGTGCTGAGCTCCTCCCGTGGGAGAGTCACCGCCCCTCCTCACACCCTCTGCAGTGGGCTGACGGGCCCCCAAAAGATGTATCCACACCCTAACCCCTGCACCTGCCAGCAGGACCTGTTTGAAAGAAAAGTCTTTGCAGCTGCAATCAAGGTAAGGATCTTGAGAGGAGACATCATGGATTATCTGGTGGCCCTAATCTAAGGACAAATGTCTTTGTGGGAGACGGGAGAGGAGACACAGACACACGGGGGAGGGGAGGAGGCGAAGTGGCCACGATACAAAGATCAGGGTGATGTGGCCACAAGCCTGGGGGTGCCCGGAGCCACCAGAAGCTGGAAGACGCAGGAAGGACCCTCCCCGAGAGCCTCCGGAGCGGGGGCAGCCCTGTCAGATTTCAGATTTCTGGCCTCCCGCCTGCGAGAGAAGAGATTTCTGTTATTTTAAGCCCCCAGGTCGTGGTGCTGTTTTACTAAAACCGTCCTTCGTCCCCACCATGCACGTCCCTTCCCACGGCCCAGGGGTCCTGCTACAGGTGCTGTGAGCTCTGCCGTTCAGGGGTCACCCTGCGGCCCTAAGTAGTGGCCGCAGTCGAGCCTACACTGTTAGGGCGTCCACTGACCGTCCTGTTCTTAAATCATTTATCTCCCATCTTCTATTTCTGCCGCTTTCTCCCACTTTCTGGGAAATTTCCTCTTTTTTTCTCCGACTTTCCCCTCGACATTTTTGCTACCAGGTTTTTAATTTCCTGCTCTCTCTGTTGTTTCATGGATGTGAAATATTTTATCTCTCTAGAAACATTAATTATATTCTTTTTCTGATTTTTTTTTTTTTTTTTTTGGCTGTGCCGCGAGGCATGCAGGATCTTAGTTCCCCGACCAGAGATTGAACCCGTGCCCCCTGCAGTGGAAGCGTGGAGTCTTAACCACTGGACCATCAGGGAAGTCCCTCATTATAATTTTTTAAAAGTTGCCTTTGGTGGCCTGCACTATCTCTGTTTCTGCTTTTCTGTGGGGGAGTTGGGTTTTTTCATGCCTGCCTCAAATGCAGAGACCCCTGTCAGAGAGAGGCCCTGGCGTGGCCTCCTGGCATGGGTGGAATAGCGGGCGCCCTCGCATCACTGGTGGGAGTGTAAATTGGTGGATGACTTTGGGGGAGGTGCTCTGGCACCACCTCAGAGAAGCTGGCACACTCAGCCCAGGGGCCGTGGTCGGCACACACCCAAGACCCTGCCCTGTGCAACTGCAGACGTGGCAGAATCTTCAGGGCCGTTCTGGAAGTTCCAGTAAAATCCACCAGTGATGGAGGAGGAGAATCCACTGTCATCTTGTCACGCTGTGGCCCGCCTGATCGTAGCAGGTGAGCAGCCCTGGCCCCTTGTGGACGTGGACGACCCTCGCCGACACGGCAGAGAGACGCGCACAGCCGCCCGATATCTCACTTAGGGGCACGTCCCTTGGTGTCAAACCATCAGGAAGCTCGGAGATGTGACGCGCCTGAGAATTCAGCGCAGGGGGCGCTGGGGCTGGAAAGGGCCCCAGACTGGCTTCATGGGCTCCCCCTGCTCAGCCAAGCGGAGATGCACAAGTGCGCGTCTGACTGGCACACTCTAGCGATGTGAACATTGGTTTATAAGTAATATTTCTTTTTAAAAAATTTATTTATTTTATTTATTTATTTTTGCCTGCATTGGGTCTTCGTTGCTGCACGCGGGCCCCTCACCGCGGTGGCCTCTCTTGTTGCAGAGCACAAGCGCCAGGCGCACGGGCCCCAGCAGCTGTGGCTCGCAGGTCCCAGAGCGCAGGCTCAGCAGCCGTGGTGCACGGGCCCAGCTGCTCCGCGCCATGTGGGATCCTCCCAGACCAGGGCTCAAACCCGTGTCCCCTGCCTTGGCATGCGGATTCCCAGCCACTGCGCCACCAGGGAAGTGCCCTTATCAGTACTATTTCACCAGAACGTGGAGGAGCGGTGGGAGGCTGAGGGCGAGGCTGGGACCCTCGTGATGATCTACAGCTCTGCCCTCCCAGACCACCTGCCCGGTTTCCAGAGACGAAGCCCCTGACTTTCTGCCTGGCGGGTGTGGACTTGGCGGCCCCTGTCCTGGGAGCTGAGTAAAGAAGGGGGATGCAACATCACTGTCCGGGGTGTCAGCTTCCATCAACACCCCCAGTCTCAGTTCACAGCCTCACCCAAAAGACTGGGAAGCAGGAGCCCAAGCAAATATTTGTACACAATATTGGCAGCAGCGTTATTCACAAGAGCCCAAGGGGAAACAACCCAAGTGCCCGTCAACAGACGATGGATACACAAAACGGGGTCCCTCCA